TCGATCTGTAGGTTTGCCCCGAAAATTCCTCTTTTGTTTCAATGACAAAACCCCTCTCTCTTTCTTTCTTCATCTCAAAACCCGCATCTGCTTCTCTCTCACCTCCTTCCATCTCCTTTGAATCTCCTTTTGGGATTAGGGTTTCGTGGCAACCTTGTGCGGGAAGTTTCGGCTCGGCTAGAGGAGCGGAAACGGTTCGTTTGGGGAGATCTATCTTCTGTCATCTTGGGTAAACGGTTTGCTTCTTGATTGCAACTTCGGAGAATCCCTAACGAAGAACATGAGCCAGACCAGTTTTGTTCAGTTCTCTTGAGCGTTACTTACCTGACCAGCTCCTCAATTGTTCTCGAATCGACAAGGCTCGTTTCATGAGAGACCTTCTTCTCCGACACTACCCTAACACTGAACGAATCCAGGTAAAACTTTCCTTCTTTTCAGAGCTGTTATTGGTTAGTTCGAGCTTGAAGTTGTATCTCATAATTTATTACTAGCAGAGGTATAATAAATTACTTGAAATTTATCGTTTTTGTGTTTGGGTTTGTAGTCTCTGTCTTCTTACCAGGGTTTAACTAATTCAGGTTGAACAAATGGAGAGATGGGTCTACGATTCAAGATCCACAATAATGAGATACAATACGATGAACAAATTTGGTGTTGTTCCTTATGATTTTGGCTTTGAAGGCATGCTCCCAAATTTGGTTGATGACTTCATAAGCCCTATATCTCAAGGTTAACATTTTCTATTTGTGATTGCAGATTTTGGGTTTTGTTGCAAAAAGTTTTTGGTTTTATGAGATATGTGCTCCTGGGTTTTGTTTTGATCTTGTGTTGCTTTATTGTTGATCTTGGTAAGTACTGGGAAGCTCCACAATGGTTTTTCTTCTTCTTTGCTTAGTTTGATTTGGACACTGATTCTTGATTCTTGTCGCAGGTTATGACACAAGCGGATTTAGGACTTGCAAATGCTTATATCAATGGAGATTTTTCTTTCGTGTATAAAGACTCATGACTTCTGATTGTGGTACATACATAATATACTCGTAAAAACATAAATACTGAGTTTATTCTTCTTCTTTCTCGTTTCGTTCTAACATTTTTCTTGATACATTTTATACAAATTCTCATTGCAAACAGAGATCTGAGCTCACCCAAATCAAATCCTGCTAAGAAAAGGTAAAGCTTTTAACTTTCTGCATATATGATTAAGTGTTGCCCTGCAAACTTTTTCGTTTAGCTTTTTCACTTGTGTTTTGATCTCGTAGAGGATGTTGGACACCAAGGTTTCTAGCTGCTGGTTTTGTGAAGCATGTCTCTAGGCAGAACACTTGAACACATGCCTGTAGAAACATTTCTAGCACTATGACTCTGTATATAGCATGTATCTTCTCCTCTCTTTAAATTGTGATGGACGTTTCCTCAATCATTTGGGTTTATAATCAAGTTTTTATTGAGTGATACCATGACTTACTCCCCTGCAGTATTCAAGGTGCCCATGAAAAAACTTCCAAGGGATCTTCTCTTTTGTAACCTTGTTCTATGTCTTGAGATTGACCAATTGGTATTTGAAATGCAGTCAAGTTTAATGCAAACAGAATGGTTGTTGGAACTCTTTATGGGGCAGTTCATGAATTTTGTTGTCGAAAAGACGAAAACACCGAGGAAGTGAACAATGCTACAGCACAGTA